GTTGTTACTCCACCAAGCCGAGTATGCCACCAAAGAACAAGCGGTCTGGTTTTTCGCCCAAATTCGAATGTCAGTCAAACTGACATCCAAATTGGGCCAGAACAACGTTGTTACTCCACCAAGCCGAGTATGCCACCAAGAAACAAGCGGTTTGGTTTTTCGCCGAGAATAAAACTCACTTTTCTGTTCTACATCGGGAGTTGGACAACCCTTATTGTCTTAATACAATGTTACAAGATTCATCTCATCACGAAGTGATCAAATCCAACCTGCGTCCATTCAAACCAGCCACCCGAATCCGTCGCTAAATGTCTTCACTTCGTCCTGCCAATGTCTCTACCGGGGACCCGGTCGCCATCGCCGCCCAAGTTTTGGATCTGCAACTCCACCGCAAAGTCCGAGTCGCCTACAAGGTCCGACAAAGATATCTTATTCCTCCAGATGAGATAAGTCCTACAACTCCCGGCGATGTTGTTATGCGCTGCGTTAAGAGGCAATGGAAAGCGGCCGTAACAGATGAAAACATCTGGTACTCCATCAGAGTCTTGTTTTGCAAATCAGTTGTACAGATTGGATCTATCAATACCGTAAGCGATCTATTCCCTAAGTTTAGATGATAATTAATATATAGCTACTATAGGTACGCACGGAAGATCTCGAGCGCGCCAATCTTCCTAGAGAAATTGCTTTTTCCTCATTTTTGCCTTCCCCTGACTTGACGGCTGCATTTCATCGCCCAGAAGTCCTCCAATCCTCCCAAATCTTCGCCGAGCAATACCCAGACATCTTGACAGGGTCAACAAGTCCTAAGTTCCTGGTTGTATCCCTAGTCATTAGGAAGAAAGTAGTATTGTGCCTGACCGCATGTGCCTTATTGCTATCCGTCGTCATCGCATTGGTTGTAGGCATAACAACACGTAACCAGGAGAATGGATGGGCTTGTTTCGGTGGGCTAGGGGTATTTATTTCATTATTTCTAACCATTGTCTTTAATCTAAATAAATAAGTTATTAGCTAAAGTAGGGTATAGAGATAAATACAAAAAAAAAAAAAAATCCAGGAGTAATAGTATATTTTAAGGAAGCGATTATTTCATTCTAAAACTCGCTAAACATCACGCCGATTAGCTATCCAGACCGAGTAAGTCGTCTTCAAAACCTTATCAATCTTGGAGCTGGGCACAGTAACAAATACAAGAGGACTGGAGAATTGGCAGATCGCGAAGCGGCAGTCAAAAAATATCGAAAGTCGCTTGATGTTACGCCTAACGACCAATCGGGACCACCAGGCCGTTTTCGATGCCTCGGAGTTGTTTACAGGGACAGATATAAAAGCACGGGGGCAATAGCGAATTTCTTGGCCTCTTTGCAAATAAAGCTGAGGGCTCTGGACCTTACGCCAAAAGACCATTTAAATTGCGCAGGCCACCTTATAAACCTTGGTGTTTGGTACGGCGACCAATACAAAAGGAATGCCATGATAGCAGATCTTGAAGCGAAAATAACGTTATTCCAAAAAGTACTGGATCTTACTCCAAATAACCATCCAGACCGAGTAAGCTCTCTGAAGAACCTTGGGATACCTAAAGGAATAAATATGAGAAGACGGGAGCAATAGGGGATGATAAGCTCTCGGAACCGTCCAACGACCCAAAGTCCTACACGCTCGGATCAATCTGTGGCCACAATATCTTCGTTGCCTGTTTGACCCGGGGGGGGGGGGGGNGGGGGGCAGA